TGTTTCTACTGTCTACTGTCAACAGAGCTGACTGGAAATGCTATTTTTGTATCAGTGCAGGACAGAAAATTAAGGAGTTGACTCCCAGCTCTGCATTGTTACCTCCTGGTGTTATTTGGTTGGCTACTTCCCTTACAAGAACAGTTAGTTAGTATTTTACGCTTTCCACTTCTGGTTAAGATTTCTATTGCACTACTGTTTGCAAGCAGCATGTTAACATGAACAAGAGCAGAACAAAAGCTTTGTAGTTCACCTCAACCTTGGCTAATGTCTTTGTAAACATGAAAATTATCAACAGATGTTCGTCTCTCTGGTTGGCAAGCTTTACATCCCAGATCTGTACTGCTCCTTAATGACTGAATAATGAATCACATAATATTGGTAAATTAAAACAAATTCTTCCATGAAGTACTTTGGAGAACTTTGTGCTTCTAGATTTTATTCTATTTATGTGTCAAAAGAAGAAAAATTTCTGTACTATCTGAATATAGATATCCTCACGTATCTATATGAATATAGATATCCTCACAAAGAAATAGGCAATAATTTTGTACCCTCTCAATCTGGATACAAAAGGGTTCTCCCTTAATAATTTGTGACCTTACCTTGGAATCAACCTCTTCTGCTTCACCAGGGCCTGGGCATTCCTCTCTCACACTGCTGCAGCCATGTCCTTTATCACCTGTCATGAACATTCACCCTTCTCCAGAACGCGAAGAAGAAATCACGCTTCTAGCCAGTATTCCTCATAGTTAGGTTCAAATAATCTTTAAAAATGTTTGGTTTTTTTCTCCTCCTCCCTGTCTTGATTCTCAGATGCCAGTGGGATTTTCAGCACTGCATAAGTAAGGCCTTTCCCATGTTTTCCACTTTGCTTGGAAATTTATCTTCATCCAAGCTGATGTGACCAACCTACATTGTCTTCCTGTCTGAAAACAAAGCTTGTGAACTCCACCTTGCTCCTACTAACTTGATTTCAGCAATGAAACTGCTGAAAAAGCAGGGAATTAACAAGGACTGAATTAAACCGCATCATTCTTTTGTACTACTTTTCATTATTGTCATTTACAAGTTAATCTCAGGTCTTATCCTGAGAAAATTAATATGGTTTGTTTGTTTTTATAAAGAGTCAATTGTATGAATACTAAATCCCTGGGGAGTTATAGGCTTCCTATCAGTAGTACTCTTGAAATGCAAGAGAAGCAGACTTCTTCCCTAAAAACTGATTTCATTGCACTTTATAAATCACAAGCATGATTAACCTATTGTTAAAATAAGAATGGGTTATTAAATAACTAGCAGAAAAATTATCCTAAAGCTCTCTTTGGTAGCAGAAGAAGAGTTTCCTTTTCTTGATTTACTGTTCTTTCTGATCCAGGCAGAGTCATAAATGAAAATGCAAAAACACTATGAAGTTGACTTTCTCCTTACAGTTATGATTCGGTATTGAAAAATGATGAAAAGTAGATACAGGATAAACATAAGACTTTTGTTACTTAGAAGACTAACTTTTGGATTTTTTTATACTTAATATGGTTTCAGGCTGTTAGCATTTCTAAAATGTTTTTTCAGAACTTTGGATGTGCCTCTTCTTAGCCATAAATAAGGCTGGGGTTTGAGCAAGTGGAAATCTTCCGAATTAAACAAGGTTAGTTGAAAAATGCAATCAGAAAGAGGAAGAATGGATGTAATTTTTAACATATTTCCTTTACAGATGACAAGAATAATTTTGAAACAAATGGAGCCCAGGTACTTTTTTTTTTTTTGGTAGAATTTTTAGTAGGCTTTACTTGCAACCTCTAGTTTATTCAGTGGTAGCTGTGCTTTCTCTTTATTAACTTCTGTGGTTTAGACTATGCCAATCTGTAAGATTTTCTTCTGTTGCTGTTAGTGCTGTGTGAATGAATGATAGGAACTGCCACAAATTGTCAGTCAACCCTAGAACAAGACAGAAATTACAAAATATAGGTCTGTGTCCAGTAAAAACATGCAGGTGTTGCAGAAATAAAGTGGCGTCTAATGAGTCTAATTTGGCAAGAAGTGCTGTTTGACATGAAGTCATATTCTAAGAGTGGTAGCTTTACTTGGAGTAATAGTTTTCAAGCTCTGGAAATACCTGTACTACATCAGAGAGATTAATTCAGCTATGCAATTAAGGTCTCTTTTCTCCTTTTAATATGAAGTGTATTTTAGATGTGGAGGTTCTTAAACCAGAAATCAAGGTCTTCAAATATTGTTAAACTAATGAATTTTAGAGGACAGTGCATTCTTTTTGTTTTGGCAACAAAATATGCTCCTGCTGTTTAATAGTTTTGATTTTTTTTTTCCCTGGTTCTTGCTGAATGAATTTCTTTTAGTGATCTGTAGAGAGAGTTGTGGATAGGAAAGCTAAAACAACAGATGAATGGAGCAGGAAAAAGAATGTGCTGGCTAATGAGCAAAGGGAACCACCAATTACTTAGGAGCATAACATCTCCTCTCTGATGGCAGTTTTTGCTCTGCTAGATGTGCAATAGCATGTGCAATGTTCCCGTGGTTCTGATTGCAGTAGGCATTTAAATTTCACTTATGACATTGTTCCTAGGTGTTTGAGGCTTAATTGCACCTAACTAAATCATTAAAAAGGGTCTTTTGAAAGTGTAGTCTGCAGTTTAATAGGAGAGCTATGCCTTCAAGAGGTTGTTTTCAACTTCTGCAGGTTTCTACTGTGATACCATCAAATGTAAACTAAATGTAACTGTTGAAATTAAATTTCAGGAAAAAAGGTCTTATTCTGAATCTGTCTTCTGGTCTGGGTACTTTCCCTTGTCCGTTATACACGATGTACTCAGCTTCTAAGGTAAGTAATTCATATTGCTGTGTAAAGAAATCCTCATCAAGTGTTTACCAAAGTGTTTGTATTGGCAGTATAGGGCCAGATTTTGAGGAAGAAATCAGTGTTGTTCCACTGAAATAATGAAGCAATGTAAATGAGCAGTAGCTGAGAACTAAGAATCAGTGAAGCTATGTAAATTAAATCAACTGAAGTTATGTCTGATAGTCAGAACATTTTTGCCTTTGATTAAGTAGTATTATACCAGTGCTCACAATCTGTCCTAGTTACAGGAAGTGATGATTTTTACCCAACTGGCTCAGCTAATTTACTCAAAACTGAAGATGCACGGAAGTGCTAGATTTTGCTTATGGAATCAAGAATAAAAATTTCTGGTAGGTGGGTGGTGAATTTCCTGATGCAATAGATTTCACTTCAAGATTTTGCTCTGAATTAAACACTCAGAGCTCATAAAAGTGAGGAGTGAAGTATTTATATTATACCAAAGCAACTTGCTCAGCTCAGGCTTGCTCCAAATTAAAAATTCAAACAATATTTGCTTGAATGTGGCTAAAGTTCAGTTTGGTAAGAAAAAACTAGTTTTTCTGGGTAAGAAATTTAAGGTTTCTGTTTCCCTTTTCTCTTTTTAACATAAGTTTCTCATTACTCAAAACTTGAACTACATTCAAAGAAGACAATTTTAGTTCCTTAAAAAAGTTGTTTCAAAATTAAATGGTGCCTTGGCATTTTGATTTTTTTTTTCATTCTTGAGTGTCTCTTACTTTTATTTCTTTTTAAATTGACTTATATTTTCTTGGCAATGCTCTGAAAGGAAACTACTGTACTTGTCAGCATATTGATGTTTCATGTAATATCATGACACTATTGGTGTTTAAATTGTGATACCTGTCAAATAATGGCTTTAAAACACTGTCCTTTTTTCTCCTGAGCAGAACTTTTATGTTTCTGTTTACAGAGGAATGATCCAATCTTATCAGTTTTCTGAATATTTCTCAAAGATCTAACTCCTAAATTGTCTTAAACTCCATTTTTACGCAAAGCAGTTCTTTGTGGAATGGAGAAAAAACTTAAAAAGATAAAGGTTTAAGCTACAAACTGCCACAAATTCCCAAATAAATTACTTTGAAATTCATACTTACAGAGTGTGCTTATAGATCTACACTGAAGGCATGAGTTGTATTTCACTCCCCTTCTTGTTGCAAGACAAACAGCTGTGTAAGCCTTGAACTGGGAAGGTAGTTTCAGACAGAGAAGAGAGCCACATTTAACAATAACTAGAATAAATGGGACTCCATCATTTATATCTCTGCATTTTCATAAATGTGACAAAGCAGGCTGTGTCTAGTCTTCACTAGTACTTGTTTCAAGTCTGGCTTGGGCCAACACCAGGCTCCATCTCTTCTGGTGCAGATGAACAGTCCATCTTGCCATGTGCACCAGGAGAAAAATGTGTCTTGAAAAATTAATTTCTATGCTTTTCACAGCTCAACTGTGCATCAGGTTGTATGATGCTTGGCCATTTTTGTTAGGGACTTATTTGTACATATTTTTGAGCATATGTGAAAGTACTTAGTTTCTTATGCTAATGTTATTTTATTTTTTTTATTCTAGGCTTTTATAAGCACTTTCTCCAAAGCACTGCAAGCAGAGTATAAGGCAAAGGGAATTATCATACAGGTAATACTATATCTTGCCATATTTGCCTTTATTTTAACATATTCTTGAAGAATATATGAGATGTCTAAATCTGTATAGTACAGCCATCCTTGGTGAAGTGCTGGTTGAATCAAAACCTTCAGTCTCCCCTATATGCAGCTCTAGGCTTTCTTCCTTATTCCACCATAGTACCACTACTAATACCACATAGTACCTTAATCCATTGCAAATGGATTGTCAGATGCTGTAGGATTCTACAGAGTGAATGGCCTTATCTAAATGTTAGATGACATTGAAATATTATTATGGTTTCTCATTTTAGGTGGTGGCACCTTATGGCATTTCTACTCCAATGACAATGTATCAAAAACCTGGTCTTATTACAAAGACGGCAGAAGAGTTTGTTAGTGAATCACTAGATTATGTCACCTTTGGAGATGAGATTTTCGGATGTTTAGCCCATGAAATGCTGGTAATTGAATTCAGTAGTGTGTCAGTGGGTCTCAAAGGCTGAACCAATATTCTCTGGACTCAGCAGGTTCTTTGCTTGATTTCAGAGACCTTAAAATTTGACATCAAATGAGAAAGAGTGAATAGCTTATTAAGGGTAATTAGGCACCAGTGAACTATGAAGGGAGGAATATACAAGTAAAGCACAGTGATGTTTGCCCAGTGTGGCTTTCTCCACTTACGTATCTTGAGCTGAGATCTGGTTAGACTTTATCCTTTCTCCAGCTGCCTGTTTTCATGAGCCTGTTAAGAATATTTCTGAGACCCCTCCTCCTTTATATAAATTGCTCAGCAGATTAAAAAATTATTAGTGGGGAAGGGGAAGGACATAAAAACAGACTGTGCTATCAAATAAACTACGTTTTCTTAGGATAGCAAGCTAACAAAATAGAATAAGTACTTGTACGTGGCAGCTGTAAATGAAAATATAGGCATGAGAACGATTTGCTGAAAACAGAGAGGAATGGACATTTCCCTCTAAGAGTAACATACATATTGAAAATATCAAGTAAAATCTTCTGCATTTATTGTTTTCTAGAACCTTTCTGAACAGTCAGTGAATTACTTTTAGCAGTTCTGTAACCCTTGCCTTAGTATTGTTTTTCCTTGATTATTCTGAAGGCCTGTGTCCTGCAGTTTGTCCCTTTATGGGTGTTCCACAGCAACATACTTCAGGAAGCAGTCCTGCATGCATTTACCAGCTATCTGAAGAAGAGGTGGAGGAAACCCTAGCAGAGTAACTTTTTTCAGAAGATGTACAGCAGCAAACCCCAGCAGGATGCTGTGACTCTGTGTGTGTGAATGCGGAAGGAATCAAATGAGTTTGAGTCATAGCTGCATCCAAATCACCTATCAAGAGATAAGTGCTTTGATCCAATTAATTTATTAAGCAAATTAATTCCTGTCCCTTTTCAAAGACCATAAAATTTGGTTTTCTAGAGCTGTTATAGTGACTTTTGTGGGCCTTAGATAGCTTCTAAGGAATGTATGTTACTATTTTAACATAACCTTGGAGGCCACAGATACTTATGCTTGTTTGATGGTCATGAATAAAACAATTACTTGTTTCATTTCCAAACTTGTTCACAGTGTGTTTTTGTGCTTTCAGTGAGAGTTTTGTGTATTTTGCTTCTCCTGGAAAGTCAAGGAAATTTGAAAAAAGAAAAAGAGAAAGCTTTCAGGTACACATGGAACCTTCAGAAGTCTGCAACCATAAAAAAAGTATTTCTGTCCAGAATTTATGAATAACTTCACAGTCTGCAATATCTGATATGGGATGGAGGAGGTAGGAGCATACATAAAAGATAAGCCATAATTCTGCATTCCTGGATGAATCCTGCAGGCAAACCTTCTGAGTGTAGAGACTTTCAAAGAATATGCTGAGTTGGAAGTCACCAATCAGGATCATAGAGTCCAACTCCTGTCCCTGTGTAGGACACCCCAAGAATCGCACCATGTACCTAGAGCATCATCTAAATGCTTCTTGAACTCAGGCAGGATTGGTGCTGTGACCACTTCCCTGCAGATCTTGTGGCAGTACTCAGCCACCCTCTGGGTGAAAAACCTTTTCCTGATATCCAACCTAAACCTCCCCTGATTCAGCTTCCTGCCAATTCCCTGATCCTGCCATTGGTCACAGGAGTGAAGAGACCAGTACTTGCCCTGTCTGTTCCCCTCATGAGGAAGCCATAGTCTGCAATGAGGTCATCCCTCAGCCTCTTCTTCTCCAAGCTGAATAGTCCAAGCGACCTCAGCTGCTCCTCATAAATCATTCCTTCTAGACCCTTCACCATCCTTGTGGTTCTCCTTTGGATGCTCTCCTATAGCTTGATGTCCTTTTTATATTGTGGTGCCCAAAACTGCATGCAGTACTCAAGGTGAGGCCTCAATCACCTCCCTTGCCCAGCTGGCAGTGCTGTGCTTGATGCACCCCAGGACACAGTTGGCCCTCCTGGCTGCCAGGGCACACTGCTGGCTCAGACTCCCTTTGCCATCAACCAGGACCCCCAGGTCCCTCTCTGCCACGCTGCTCTCCAGCCACTTGTTCCCTGGTCTGTACTTACCACCAGGGTTGCCCCGTCCCAGGTGCAGAATCTGGCACTTGCTGTTGTTAAACTTCATGTGGTTGGTGAGTGCCCATCTCTCTAACATGTCAAGGTCTCTCTGCAGGGCCTGCCTGCCCTCAAGGGAGTCAACAGCTCCTCCTGGTTTTGCAGCATCAGCAAACTTGCTTAGAATGCCTTTGAGTCCTGCACCCAAGTCCTTGATGAAGATGTTGAAGAGGACTGGCCTAGGATGGAGCCCTGCAGGACCCCACTTGTGACTGGTTGCCAGCCTGATGTGACCCTATTCACTCTCACTTCTTTTGCTCGACCTGCAGGCCAGTTGCTCACCCATTGTATGGAACACTTGCCAGCTGTATGCTGGATATTTTGTCCAAATTGTAGATCATACTGGGTGCTATTGTTTTAAGGACAATGCTATTATCAGGCATCATTATCACAGGTTCACAGAGGTAAAGTCCTGCTTAAATTAGTTTATTGTCCCTCTATGATGAGGTCATCTGCCTAGTGGATGAAGGGAAGGCAGTGGTTGTTGTTTTTCTGGATTTTAGTAAGGATTTTGATACTGTCCCTCACAGAATTCCTCTGCACAAGTTGTCCAGCTGTGAGATGAGCAGGTATATGGTGCTCTGGGTGAAGAACTCACCAAAGGGCAGGGCTCAGAGGGTTGTTGTAAATGAGGCTGCATCTGGCTGGTGAGCAGTCACCAGTGGTGTTCCTGAGGGCTCCATTCTAAGGTCAGTTCTGTTCAATAGGTGAATCAACGATCTGGATGCAGGAGTTGAACGCACCATTAGCAAGTTGGCTGGTGATAGTTAACTGGGAGGTGCTGTTGACTCTTTTGAGGGACAAGAGGCCTTGCAAGGGATCTAGATAGATTGGAGCATTGGGCAATGATTAATGGGATGACATGTAACAACACCAAATGCCAGATTCTGCACCTGATGGAATAAGGCCAGGCACAAATACAAACTGTGAGAGCAGCAGCTGGAGAGCTGCCCTGCAGAAAGAGCCCTGGAGGTGCTGGTCACAGGCTCAATGTGAGTCAGCCCTGTGCCCTGGCAGCCACCAGGGCAACTCACATCCTGGGGTGCATCCCACACGGCATGGCCAGCCAGTCAGGAGAGGGGATTATCCTGCTGTATCCAGCACTGGTGTGCCCTCACCGCCAGCACTGTGTGCAGCTCTGGGCCCACCATTTAAGGAGAATGTGAAGGTTCTTCAGTGTGTCTAGAGGAGGTCACCAAAGCTGGTGGAAGGGCTAGAAGGCATGTCCTGTGAGGGGTGGCTGAGGAATCTGGGGTTGGCTAGTTTGGAGAGAAGGAGGCTGAGGAACAACCTCGTTCCTCCCTGCAGCTTCCTGAGGAGGGGAAAGGGAGAGGGAGGTGCTGAGCTCTTCTCCCTGGCGTCAGTGACAGGACACATGGGAATGGCTCAAAGCTGCACGTGAGGAGGTTCAGCCTGGACATGAGGAAGCATTTATTTACTGAGAAGGTGCCCTGGTTTGAACTTCTTATCAACCAACACCCCCAAGTCCTTCTCCTCAGAGCTATTCCTAATCCATTTTTTTCCCAGACTGGAGTTGTGCTTGGGATTTTCTTGACCCTTGTACAGGACCTTGCACTTGGCCGTGTTGAACCTCACAATGTTGGCATGGGCCTATCTCTCAAGCCTGTCAGGGTCCCTCTGGATGGCATCACTTACCTCCAGCATGTGGACCTCGCCACACAATTTGGTGTCATCAGCAAACTTCCTAAGGGTGCACTCACTGCCACTGTCAATGTCACAAATATGTTAAACAACAACTTTTCTGCAGTAAAATCACATTTGATTCAGGTCTGCAAACAGTCATAAAAAATTCCCATATTCACGTGAGTTCCTAGGTCCTTCAACTGAGTACATACACTTGCATTATTTCATGTCCAAGTCGGGAAAGGAAAAGTAGGTCACTTAGAGACCAGTATTGCTAAACCCCAGCATTAAAATATACTTGGCTTACACATAAAGTGGTGAAATGATGCTATACTGTAAGTATTTTGTATTTCTCTTTTGGATTTTTAAAAGAGACTGTGCTCCATTTCATACTTAACAGCATGTTTCTAGAATTCGGTGCTTTCAAAAAAACACAAACAAATATAGATCTCAATAAAATTATTTGTAATTATAATTTCTCTTTTGATGTGGTATTTAAAATTACTCCTTTTGATTGTGATGAAAATTCCTCTCTTGGAATAAAAGGATATCTGAGCCATACTCCTCAAGGACAGTAGAAAAAGTCTTGAAATGTGGGAGTGCTGCAGTGTTGCAGCAGCTTTGTGTGCCTGGATCATCCCTGAGTGGAGCCTTTCTCCAGAATTCCCTTGAGACAAAATAGCTGCAGTTACATCTGCAGGTAATAAAGTTTAACAAGTATCACCTCACGCCGCCAGAAGATATTTTGCCTACTAGTTTTAACTGTCTGCAAGTGGAAGTTTTAACTGCATGTGGAAGTGTAGATTTCAAGATGGGTTTGCTGTTTTTTAAGGAAGAAGTGAGAGCTTTCTTTTTGATATCCTTAATCATGAGAAATCAAGGCAGTGGATAAATTTTTTAAAAAATAATTTCTGTGCTTCTGGAGCAAAACTATCACTGATTCTTAGAGTATGAAATCAGTTCAGTATTTTCCAAATGTTTTCTAATTAATTTCTCTTAGTTTTTGTCTCATCGTCAAATGATGACATTTTGTTTTTTGGAACAAGAAGCCATTCCTTTCTGTGACTGTAGAAAAATATCTTGTGATATGGCCATCACGTCTCATAACCTTTTTAATTAAATGGCTTCTATAGACTCACATATTTCATACCTTAATATGAAATAATTATTAAAACAAAACTACTAGTGAATATTGCTACTCAATATAGAAAACATTTGGAAGTGAAAAGGAGACATCTGTACTGCACATTTCAGCATTGTTGGTTTGAAAAGTTAGGAATAGAAATGGTTTGTTCATAACTTCATAAAGATTGTTTTCAAGTGATTAAACTATATGCTTCTGCATGTGATATTTGTGCAGCTGGACAGCAAATTATTTGGAATATAATGTATGATAAATATTACACATAGGCCAAAAGCTGAAGTCCCTGAGGAAATGCACATTCAGTAGGAGGCCTGAGTGTGGAATGCAGTTTGTGTTTAACATCAATATAAGTGTTCATTTCTCCATAGATGCATATTTTCAAGTAGTATGTTCTCAGGTACAACATTAAATGCAGTAGACATCTCTTTCCTTTGCTTCTCCAGTCCAAACACATACTGAGGCCTTGCTCTCAGGCAGCTCTTTCCACGTTTGGCTTATACGTGTGAGTAGACCCAGCAGGGTGATGCAAATCCTGCAGAGCAGTAACTGCTCTTGCTCTGCTCAGTCAATGTTGGTCACTTAGGGGATTCAATGGCAGAAGCAGCAGCAAACTCTGAAGACTCCTTTGCTTGCAGTTTGTTATGAAAACAAAAAATGTAGCTATGCATTCCCTTGTTTTGTCTCTGATTTTCACATGAGTTACCTAACTCAGGTTAGAGAACACCCTTTTGCCCTCCCCAAAATGACAAAAGATCTGTGTGTTGGCCACTGAAGAGAGACACATGCTGATCCCAGTAACACATTGCTACAGGCAGATGTGAGTGAGCAACAGAGATGTGGT